CTCCTCGGCTTAGTCCTCTTCTGCTGCTGCGTCTTGCTCCACATCAACGGATGGGGGCGTAACAGTGATTAAACTGATAACAATAGTACTAAACACCACATATCTGGTGGCACATTAGATTGCACGCGCAGTGACCCAAATTTGTTGTGATCTGTGAGTAAGGTAAACGGTTGTCCATACAAGTAGGTTGCAGCTTTTTGAGGGCCCACACCACCGCTATGCACTCCTTTTCAATGGCAGTGAATATACTTGGCTGTGCAAAAGTTTACGGCTTAGATAAGCCCCGGGTTGCTAGCCACCATCTGCTCCGACTTGGCTCAATACTGCTCCCAATCCAAGCATAGAAGCGTCTGTAGGGCCGAGAAAGTGTTTAGTTGGATCAGGAGAAGAAAGTACAGGTGATTTAATGAGCGCCGTCTTGAGCTGTTGGAAGGCCTGTTCACATTCTGGGGCCCATACTACTATCTTGAGGAGGTTTTTACACGTTCCTATATGGCACTTACTGGGCTTTAGGGTCAGTCCGGACTCCCTAATCCGGTCTATTACGGCTCCTATGTGGGTCAGGTGTTCGGGCCAGGAGCTGCTAAAAATATCTATACCATCCAAGTAGGTGTGTATCAGTGTGTATTAGGGATCCTTAGGACAGGTGTCAATCCATATCTGCCAAGTGACCCGATGTTGGGGTAACATTCCTTATTCTGCTCTGTGTCAGTGTGTATCAGGGATCCTTAGGACAGGTGTCAATCCATATCTGCCAAGTGACCCGATGTTGGGGAATTGTAACATTCCTATTCTGCTCTGTGTCAGTGTGTATCAGGACCACTGATACCAGGAGCCATGAGTATTCAACTGAAGTAAAAATAGTACTAAACACGCCGCTCCTCTGTGGTGTCACATTAGCTTGACCGCGCAGTGCCCCAAATTTGCAGTAAGAGGACCGACCAAGCCTCTTCTTCCATCTCCCTGTTACAAAAATCAATGCCGTGTACACGACCACTGATAGGAAACGCGGAAGGTATTAAACTGATCAGAACAATACTAAACACACCACTCCTATCTGGTGGCACATTAGCTTGACCGCGCAGTGCCCCAAATTTGAATTAAGAGGACCGACCAAGCATCTTGTTCCATCTCCCTGTTACAAAAGGAAAATCAATACGTGTACCGCGACCACACTGATAGGAGGCAGCGGGAAGGTATTAAACTGATCAGAACAATACTAAACACGACTCCTATCTGGTGTCACATTAGCTTGACAGCGCAGTGCCCCAAATTTGCAGTAAGAGGACCGACCAAGCCTCTTCTTCCATCTCCCTGTTACAAAATCAATGCGGTATGCAAGTCACTATTAGGAGGCAGCGGAAGGTATTAAGCGATCAGAACAATGCTAAACACACCCATATATCTGAGGTGGCACACATTAGCTTGACGTAGTGCCCCAAATTTGAATGGAAGGACGACCAGGCATAGCTGCTTCCATCTCCCTGTTACAGAAATCACTGCCATATCCATACAAATTGTACAGAATGTCCAGGATAGTTTTCCAGGGACAAATGTTGTCGCCTGTTGAACGAGGTGACCTTGCTCGGGTCCCAGGTGTACGGTTCCTAAAATGGCTGCCATATACCCGTCCACTGATAGGAGACGCGGAAGGTATTAAACTGATCAGAACAATACTAAATACACCACAAATAAGGTTTCTCTCCTGTATGGCTCCTCAAATGATGCTTAAGATTAGAAGCGGCTGAAAAGCATTTCTCACACTCCGAACAAAAATATATTTTTTTAACATTCTCTCCACTTTGAACGAAATGGCGTTTGGGAAGAGATTAACATAATTAAACACAGGCAGTAAAAATACAGTTTTAGCCATACCCTGTAACTTTAAAACTACACATCCCATCTTCATAATTACATATTTGGAATCAGCACACTTAAAACATAAACATAACCAAAAATCAGCCAAATCCATCCAGGGGTTAAAAGTTAGCTGGAGGTCCCTTTATGACCGACCGCAAGCACATTTTCCTGCCCAAAACAGTTCCATAGATTTGGGCTGTGAGGTCGGTCTATTTCAGGCTGAAAAAACGACTAAGTCCCATCGCGAATGGGACTTAGTCTCTGCAGCTGAAATAAGGCTGAAAAAAAGACTAAGTCCCATCGCCGAATGGGACTTAGTCTCTACAGCTGAAATAATTTCCCATTTACTGAACCAAGTGGGAAATAGCAAGGCAGGCACAAAGGGTTTGCACCAGGTCTGGGGACACAGGGGACACCGTCTTAAAGGGGCCGTGTCCCCAACAAGTCTGGGGACACGGCCTTAAAGGCGCAGTGTCCCAATCTTCCTGATGTCCCAAAAGGTGTTTAAAGGGCCAGCACCAGTCACATAAAGAGTCCATAAGCCCCAATATGCCCACCGACAGTCTTAAAGGGCCATACACACCAAATAAAAGTGCATACATTTTCACAATCTCCCAGGGGCCATAGTCATGCGGGAGGGGGCTGGCAAAGAGGCTTCTCCACAACCCAGGGAAACAGGGCAATTTGCCATTTAAAGGGCCCGTTACAAATAGCAGTTTGTAACAAGGTGTCAATCCATATCTGCCAAGTGACCCGATGTAGGGGGACCAGTCCCTATTCTGCTCTGTGTCAGTGTGTACCAGGGAACCTTGGGACAGGTGTCAATCCATATCTGCCAAGTGACCCGATGTAGGGGGAACAGTCCCTATTCTGCTCTGTGTCAGTGTGTATCAGGGATCCTTAGGACAGGTGTCAGTCCATATATGCCAAGTGACCCTATGTAGGGGGACCAGTCTCTATTCTGCTCTGTGTCCGTGTGCATCAGGGCTCTGAGGACAGGTGTCAATCCATATGTCAAGGTGTCAATATGTCATATGTCAGGTGTCAATCCATATTCATTGTGATTTAGGAATGTTAGGTGATTTCTGCCCTTTATGGATTAAAACCAGACTCTGCATCAACTGTGTAATTTTCCATGGGAGTTTTGCCATGGATCCCCCTCCGGCATGCCACAGTCCAGGTGTTAATCCCCTTGAAACAACTTTTCCATCCCTATTGTGGCCAGAAAGAGTCCCTGTGTGTTTTAAAATTCGCCTCCCCATTGAAGTCAATGGCGTTTCGGGCGGTTCGCCGGTTCGCGAACATTTGCGGAAGTTCGCGTTCGCCGTTCGCGAACCGAAAATTTCGGGTTCGCGACATCACTAGTCGTGACTGAGGTCATGTAAGGCTTTAATCTCACCCGGAGTTAGATTTGAATGGTATGTAGGGGGATTTTTCACCATCTGTTCTGTATCTGCCTTTACAGTCTGGATAAAGGTCCTGATGGAGGCGTTATTGGTACGTACATCCTTCTTTTGTTTCTTGTAAAATGGTGATATCAATTTAGGTGTAGGTTCTTTCATAATTTCATTTAGATAAAATGTCCTTTGAGTTTTATACATCTCAATCTCTTGTTGAAACGGGTCGACTTTAGACACAGGTACAAACGAAAGCCCTTTGTCCAACAAAGAGTAGTGATCCGTAGTTAGAAACTTTTTATACATACACTGTAACTTTAAAAATATATGTCCAATCTTCATAAAAATTACATATTCAGGATCAGCATACTTTAAATATAAACATAACCAAACATCATACAAATCCCTCCAATAGATAAAAAGTTAGATGGAAGTCCTTTATGACCGACCGCAAGCACATTTTCCTGCCCAAAACAGTTCCATTGATTTGGGCTGTGCGGCTGGTCAATTTTATGCAGAAAAATGAATTTCCGAATGGTACCTAGTCTCTGCAGCTGAAAATTCAGTGTAGGAGAAGGTAAGGGTCAGCGGTGTTCGTTGAAATGTGTATCCAATTTCAGTTCCATGGCTACACATACTGCTGACCTCGTTCGAAGGAACAAAGATGGCCGCCGCCACATGTTCATTTGCACGAACTGCGGCCATCTAGCGGTCGGCAATTTACCTACAGCAGGCTTCCAGCCTGGGAGGTAAATTGCCTGCACACTTCCACTTCTGGGTGGTCTGCCTGTGTGGTACTTGGTTCAGTAAGCCCCATTTACTGAACCAAGTGTAAAGAAGCCATGAATAAAGTATTTTAACCAAGTCTGGGGACACTGGGGACACAAGCTTAAAGGGGCAGTGTCCCAAACAAGTCTGGGGACACCGTCTTAAAGGGGCATTGTCCCAATTTTCCCTATGTCCCAAAAATGTGCTTAAAGGGCCAGCACCAGTCCAATAAAAGTCCATAAGCCCCAATATGCTCACAGACTGTTCTTAAAGGGCCATACACACCAGGGCCATAGTCATGAGGAAGGAGGCTGGCAATAAGGCTTCTCCATAATACAGGGAAGCAGGGCAATTTGTCACTTAAAGAGACAGTTACAAAAGGCATTTTGCAACAGTTGTTGATCCAGGTCCTACATGTGGCAGACCCTGGAGGAAGAAGTGGTTTTGGAAAGGAAGAAAGAAGTTCTCTGGTGACAACTTGGCTGGAAATTCTAGAGTAGGACCAAAATCCCGTGGGACTTAGAGATTGTATCTCTTGTAATTGAAGGCATCCATGCATCTGCCCTCCTAGACACTGGGTCTCAAGTAACGATAGTCTTCCTTTCTTTTTATGAGGAGCATCTAAGCCATGTACCAATGTTACTAGAAGATGATGTGAAATTGTGGGGTCTGGGTTCTCAGAATTACCCCGTTGAGGGAGTTATTAAAGTACAGATTGTGATCCCTCAATTGGACACTGGGAAAGAATGCCCTATGAATGTGGAGGCTTTGGTGTGCCCAAATCTAAATCGTCCCAGAGTTCCCATCATATTGGGGACTAATACTCAGGTGGTGAGAAATGTGTTTTGAGGTTACTTGAAAGAAATGGACGATGCCTGCTTAAACAAATTGAATGAACTAGAGCCAGCTCTGAGGCAAGAATGTCACAGACTAGCCCTTGAACCCGGAACAGGTCAGTTCCATTATTGGGGGCCAATGCCTGTTGATCTTCAACCAGGGGAAATGAAATCCATTACTGCTGATACAGTTTTACGGGAAGGAATGCTATCAGGAGAGTGTCAGTTTTGCCTAGAGTCTCTTCCTGAAGAGGATTCATTTAAAGGCTGGACTATCATGCCCGAGGTAAAAGACTGGCGAAGTAAGAAAATTTACGTGTTTGCAGTAACCATTCACAATCGATCGCCAGTTGATGTACGCATAGAACATTGTCAGAAGCTGGGAGTGATCTATCTTTTGGAAGAAGTCCTTGCCAGTTGGATTGAACCAAGATTGTTTTAAAGAGTTGAAATTTGATTTAGAAGGTACCAGACTACCTGCAGAATGGAAAGATAGATTACAAAAGGCCCTTAAGGCTAGAGAAGAAGTTTTCTCTAAAGGGGATATTGATGTAGGCTGTGCCAAGAGTGCTCAGCATGCCATTCGGCTAAATGATTCTACCCATTTAGAGAGAGATCTCGAAAGATAGCCCATATGCATAACCTACAATGATGGTCAGAAAGAAAAATGGGTCAGTACGTCTTTGTGTTGATTACCGTACACTGAACAAGAGAACTATTCCTGATCAATATACCTTGCCAAGAATAGAAGATCTTTTGAATGCCTTGAATGGCAGCCGGTGGTTCAGTGTCTTTGACCTTCACTCTGGATACTATCAAGTCCCTATGAAGGCAGAGGATCAAGAAAAAACAGCTTTTATTTGCCCTTTAGGATCTTTCCAATTTACTTGCATGCTTCAAGGTGTTACCGGAGCTCCTGCAACCTTCCAGCGATTAATGGAGAAGAATCTGGACGATAGCCCGAAGCCTCCATGACCTCCTGAAAGGGGACTCTCGGAAGGTTCAGACCACTCTAAGGAACCTATAGGAGAGAAATGGACTCCGAATTGTGAAGAAGCTTTCCAACTGCTCAAGAGAAAGATGACTGAAGCACCTGTGTTAGCTTTTGCTGATCCCAATATGCCATATATTCTCCATCTAGATGCAAGTTTGGAAGGACTAGGAGGGGTTCTCCATCAGGCATACCCTGAAGGCCTGAGGTCAGTAGCATATATTAGTCGGAGTCTTACTGGAAGTGTAAAGAACTACCCAGTGCACAAGTTGGAGTTTCTTGCTCTGAAGTGGGCCATTGTGGACAAGTTGCATGATTATTTGTATGGTGCTAAGTTTGAAGTGAGGACAGACAATAACCCTCTTACCTACAGCTTAACCACAGCTAAGTTGGATGCCACAGTACACCGGTGGCTAGCAGCACTAACCAATTATGACTTCTCTTTAAAATACAAGCCAGGTCCTAAAAATGTGGGGGCAGATGCTCTATCTAGGAGGCCTGGATTGCCTATTACCAATGAAGATGGGGAGTGGGTTGAGATTCCAGGCCCAGGAGTCAGAGCCCTATGTCAGACTTCTATTGAGGAAGATGGATGGGTCAATTTTTAAGATGTATTGATTCTCTTAGTTGTTCCCCCAAGGCAATTCCTGAAGGCATGTGTCTTCCAATTACTATCCCTGAATGGTCTGTTATCAGCTTAGATGAGAAAAAAAACAAGATCAAGCTCAAGACCCAGTAAATGGCCATCTCATCAAAACTGTGGAGAAACAGGATTTCCAGTATATGAAGGATTTACCTGTTGAACTACGAAACCATTTTAAAAGGGAGTGGAGTCGATTCCATATTGAAAATGGAATCATATTTAGAGTCAAACAATACCATGATCACCCTGGCCGAAAACAGTTGGTCCTCCCTCAAAAGTTCAGAGGAATGGTGCTTAGATATCTACATGACTTCCATGGCCATTTAGGAATTGACAAGACTTTTGACCTAATCCACTACTCTTGAGAAATCTGGGAGTTCCAGGGAAGCATAAATTAGCAGATCGCTGAAGAGACACTCTCGTTGAGGTTATTTCCAAAGTTCCTGGGATTCATGTGTATCGAATCAAAGCTTGGCATAGAAATCACATATTACCTGTTGCCTTCTCTGGTGAGGATTCTAATTTGGAGGAGAACACTGGTGAAGCCAATAAGAATTCCAGCATACAGCCACTCTTAGAAACTGACTCAGAAAATAACCCTGGAGAAGGTCCCAGCGGGACTTCACCAACTAATCATAAAGAAGAAGCTACAGGTTCCAACCCTGACAGAGACTGGCAGACAGCGCCAGAAACAAAGTTGGTCCCTTCTACCTCTTCTCCTTCTTCCCCGTCATCTGGATTGAATCCTGAAAGTCCCAGCTTTTTCCCTCATTCACCAGTTAGGGACTCTAACTCTATACGAGGATCTGGACCTCTGTCTACCGGATCACCTTCCAAATGGTGTGGGCGAAAGACCCTGTGATGAAGAAATGAGTGGACAACCACCAAGCATCCTAGGTAGAGGCAGAAGAAATCGTAGGGCGCCGAGATTTTTGACCTATGACCACATTGGGGAACCCACATATTCTCAGAACCCCCACACAATGTATTGCATACTTGGACCGAAATATTAAGTGATAGAATTTCCCTGTATTAGATTGTATTGTACCAACTTGTAAAACGGTTATAAACCAGATGGAGTGCTCTTGCCAGTGGAAGGCAAGGATTCTATAGAGGGGAGGATATAACAGACTGCTATATTTTACTGTTTTGCTTTAAGTTTTGAGATATTGAACTTTGCCCTTTGCCCTGTCATGTGAGGAGGAAGGGTTAGGATGGCATGAAGAAGAGGACAGGGGAGAAGCCATGTTCTCTGAATCTGTTAAAAGAAAGTGTGCCCCTACCTGTTTGAATGGTCTGTTACTCCTGGGACAGTGAAATAATAACAGGGGAAGGCTAGTGCACTGCAACTACAAGAAATTGGAGAATGTCTACTGCTCTTCTAGGAGAGTTAGAAAACTGTTATTTTATGTTCAACTCCCAGCAGATTCTGGAACTTTCTGCTGGAGTGTGAATGAACTCTTGTATCCTGTCAGCAGAAGGAAGATAAAGGATTGCCATTGCTGTTCCGCTGCTGTCCTACATTCTGCTGGATCTCTCTGGAGATACCTGCAGTAACAGAAGTCACTCCAAGGTACTGTCTCCAGAGATTGCTTCAGGATTCTCCCTTATAACTATACCTGGTAATATATATATATTAAATATATATATATATAATATAAATGTGTTTCAAGTTCTTGGTGTTGGCAGCAAAGTTCCTCCAGTTCTGAAAAGTCTTACAAAAATAGCAATATCACACTCAAAAGAGCTTAAAGGGACACTATAGTCACCCAAACAACTTTAGCTTAATGAAACAGTTTTGGTGTATATCAATTCACTGACATTTAGAAGTTACATCACTTTTGTTTATGTTTATACAGCCCAAGCCACACCTCCCCTGGCTGTGACAGACACAGCCTGCATGAAAGCATGTTGTCCCCCCCCCACCCCCATCAGATGTGACTTACTTTAAATGTTTTTATCTCCTACTCTGTAATTTGAACTTTAATTACATCCAATAGGCTCCTGTAGGGTCCGGCAAACTATTAATATAGCAGGAGATAAGACATTTTAAATTACACAGAATTTGTGTAAGTGTAAACATTAGATGTTTAAGAAAGCTGTGAAAGTCACATGCAGGGAGGTGTGCAAAAGGCTGCATAAACAAAGTGATTTAAAGCGGCACTGTCATGCCGAATCCTGTTTTTTTTTTAACCCCCCTCCGGCCTCCACTATCTCTAACTGACACCCTAGTCACCCCAATGCCCCTAAGCCCCCTATATTACCTATTTTTTATTCTTTATTTTCTGCCCCAATCTATATTCAGGGCGCCGCCATCTTTGTGTGGGTAGATGAAGACCCTGTTGGACACGTCATCTGCCCACACTACACAGACTGTGAGATTCCCGCACATGTATGTACGTAGTGGGGAATTGCGATGCAGCCTATAACAAAACTAACCCCATTCAACCCCCCAATAATGACAGACCACTTAGTATGGATGAACAGGCCACAGCATTTATTATCACAAACTAAATTACTGCATAACACATCCATAACTTTATTTATTAAATCTCTTCTTTTCTGTAACCAAAACGTTAGACATAAATAAGCATAAATTAACATATATACATATATAACTCCACACATAGTGTTATACAGTGACCCAACCGTCCTTGCCAATAAACATACAGTGGTTCCTAATCACCACTTCCTCTCACCTCCCCCCTCGTCATAAAATCATATCTTTCCAATGCCTGCCATCAGCCGACCTTATCCACGCTCGATGGGCACGACACCTCAGGCAACCTAATGTTAACCTTTTGAAGCAGGGGAGGTTGAGACCTTAAAAACTTGTTCATCTCATTCCATATACTTAAACGTAACCCCTCAAACTCAATTGGCAAGGACATACCCCCGGCTAGCTGTGACTAAATATACCAATAGGGCGGGCGGGAGGGAAGCTGTTTGCTGGCCCGAATCCCAAGTGGCACTGAGGTAAGACCTCCCCCACACTAACTTACACAGAACATAATCCCACCCACACACTCTTTCCCATCCAATCCCATGCATCTATCCCCACACTCCTACATGTGCCCTTGTCCGCTTAGCTGCGCTATCTCCCCAGGGCCTTGTATGTACGTAGTGGGGAATTGCGATGCAGCCTATAACAAAACTAACCCCATTCAACCCCCCAATAACGACAGACAACTTAGTATGGATGAACAGGCCACAGCATTTATTATAACATAAATAAATTACTGCATAACACATCCATAACTTCATTTATTAAACTCTTTCTGTTAGAAATAAATAATCATAAATTAACATATATACATATAATAACAAAACGTGCTATGCAGAAACCCAACCGTCCTTGCCAATAAAACATCCAGTGGTTCCTAATCACCACTTCCTCTCACCTCCCCCCTCGTCATAAAAAATCCTTCCAATGCCCGCCATCAGCCGACCTTATCCACGCTCGATGGGCACGACACCTCAGGCAACCTAATGTTAACCTTTTGAAGCAGGGGAGGTTGAGACCTTAAAAACTTGTTCATCTCATTCCATATACTTAAATGTAACCCCTCAAACTCAATTGGCAAGGACATACCCCCGCCACAACCACGCTGTTTTACACCTAAAATCAGCGGGGGACCCCACCACAACCAGCCATGGCCTGTTCCACC